TTTGGGAAGGCGCGGGCGGCGGGCGGGCGGGCGGCGCTGCTGGAAGGAGGCAGCGCCTGGCAGCGCCTCTCCGCTAGGGAGAGTCCTCGTGCGCGCGCTGCGGCGGCGGCGGCGGCGGCGGCGGCGGCGGCAGGAACTTGTTGAGTTGAACACGCGGGGCTGCAAAATAACGGTTTCGTGACATTTTGTGCCCAGTGACAGAGGAGAAGGGGAGGAGCCCTGGGGATCGGCACGCAGGAATGGCCTGACACCCCATGCCTCTGCTTTGGGGTTGCCCGACCATTTGTCTCCTTAGAATCACAGGAAGTTAGGGTTTCGTTTAGTTGTGATGATTATTGTAACTGCAGACCTAAGCTCAGAAGGGCAGGAGAGCTGAGGAGCTGTGCGCGAGGACAGCACAGAGCTCGGGTTCACTTTTGGGGCTGCGCGGACAGGCAAGGTGCGGGGGCCAGGAAAGCAGCAAGGGGTACAAAGGAGACACGGCCTGAGCACACACAAGCACGGCCTGCTCAGAGGACAGAGGACGTGAACGGATAAATGATGGAATGAAAAACAACCGGTGTTTTAGATATTTTGTTTGATGCCTTAAATTGGTGAGAAAACGCGGAGAAAAATTTCTCCCGACTGCCAGCTCCTATCTTCACCTTCCTTCATTGCCATTCGCTGTAACAGAAAATAATTAAGTAAGCACCCTCAAACTATTGATTCCTAATTGGCCCTCTGGTGCAAACAGACAACCAACCTGACACGCTGAATTTTCTTGAAAAAGTCCTAGCAGAAAAATTCCTGCTGACACCAACAGATGGTTGAAGTAATCTTTAGGGATCCTACAAAGTCTTCCTCCTTATCTTAATCCATGCGCTTCTCTCAGTTTTTCCATCAACAGTGGGCTGTGATCAAAGTTCAGTGGCTAGGTGAGCCCCGAGAAAAATTAGGCTGTCCTTAGAGGGCAGCCACTTTATTTGCCCTTCCCATCTACTTGCTTTATGGCAGGTATGCTCCAGGCCTTAAAAAGGAAGAGAAAGGACCTGCTGCTTGTTTCCTTTGTTACAGTGTTATTAAATACGTGGACCTTTAGTATTCTGGGATAGGGGCTAGAACTGCTGCTGCTTTTTCTCCGCTGCTGTTGAACTCCAGTATATTTGGGGACTGAAAGGCACTGTTGCTAAGAGAGTTTGTGATCTCTCAGGAGTTCACAAACAGCTTGCAGAGAGGAGGGTGGGAGGAATTTCCGCTGTCCATAGGGTTTTCATATTTTTTCCCTTTTTAGGGGATGACCAATGGCATAACTAGGGCAGAGTAACTGGCAGCTGCCCCAGACACTGACCTGGGGGCATGAGAGTGGAAAAAAATGGATGCTGCTGCAGCTGTGAGATCTTGCCCGTGGCATGATGGTAACCAAAAGTTGCTGTTGCCCATGTGTGGCAGTATGCCCTAGGTACCCAGGCATATTGTTACACCTCTGGGGATGACAACCTGTGTATCCACTGGGACCTCTTCCCATCATATTCCTCTGTATATCAAAGCAAAAGTTGTGCTCATCTGCACCATACACGTAGGCACTGGCAAAACTGCATGATGGGATGACTTAGCTTTATATATATAGCTTCTATATATAAAGCTCATTAATTAAGTTATAAAAGGTTTTGACAGCAGCAGCTGTACCAACAATTGTGGAAGCAATTCCCTCTTCAAACCTAGAACATGTGAGTTATACAAATACTATCACAGAACGTTGCAGAAGAAGCTTGTAATGCCATATAAGTTAAAACCCATACGTTGAATTAAAAAACCCTTTTGACGGAAGCGGCAGTCGAGGCAGCGTGGCACACATGTGTAATGGTGTTATTTTCTGGGAACGTTCATGGAAAAAGAAGAGAACCAGCACAAACTGTAAACCACATTCTCTAGTGTCCTAGTGGTATAAAATGAATTAAATCACAATAGAAGTGAGCTGACCTCACTTTGCACAAATAAGATATATGGCAACAGACTGTTAGTCCCCAAGTTACTCTAAAACTTATGCAAAAATAAACAAACTGGAAAAAGTTCCCAAACGCATCACCCTACGGATGGATCCTTTGTTCCTGCAAAGACGCTGATGAGTAGAACTACTGTTCTACAAAAATCAACAGGATATATGGCAAAGAGAAATACAAACAGTTCTGACTTAAACTGGGGATGCAGTTAAGAGACAATAAAAGTGAAACGATCCGTGAAATGATCTCACTACCTTGACTGTTTCTTGAGGAGTCTCAGGAAGATCATAGTCCCTTACCTGCCCCTCAGTCTTTTTCTTCAAATATTTGGCAGGCAGGAGGAAGTGTTTCCCAGAGTACTGATGAGGCACAGAGCATGTCGAAGGTTCACATGGGCATTTGGTTCGAGGTCCTGATTGAGACTTGTGTACGGCTTCAAAATGACAGGTTTTTTTTAGTAAGCTACTTCCAGGGACAGAGAGGTCGTGTTATGAAGAAATAGTCATCTTGGCTTCACGGTGTCCTGGTTTTTCTGACATTTGCTTTATATGTAAGGCTGAGTTCTTGTGAGAAGATCTTCCATGTTCATTTGCTGGGTTTCCAATATTTAAGTGTTTCTGGAAATAAAACTCTTAGTCTGCGTATGAAGGCATGAGGAACAAGGATTTCTGCAACTTTAACTCCTTTATGGTAATATTTTTTTTTAAAGGCTTCTCTTGCTCTGGTGTGTGGTTTTCACTGAAAATGTGCATGTGCCTGGTGCTTATAAGACTAGAGTTTTTTGAATTTGCATGTGTGTTGGGGTCATATGTGCACGCTGTCACTGGATGCTCAGGGTGAAATTCTTCAATATCTGCCCAGTCTTCAGAACAGCTTCTGAACTGTTCTGTTTGCCCATTGTGACCTGGAATGAGTTTTGCTGGTCAGATCTCCCTGCACACCTCTCTTTTCCCTACCAGGGCCCTACTCGCAAACCCATGCATTTTGAGCCCTGTCTTTCCAGTGGTTGACCGACTCCTGTAAAATAGCCATAGTAAGTGTCTTTTCCATAGGAGGGGAGGAATAGTGGAGGGAGGGGAATGTATCATACGAGCAGATGATTTGTATGCTTGTCCTACTCTGCTGAGAATGTGGAAGTGGAGCAATGTGAAACTTTCATCTTCTGGAGAAGTGTGAAGGACTTGAGGCCCCAAAGGGATGAGAGCTCAGTGGTTTGGCTGCCAGGCTGGATTTAAGAGGCTTGCATTTAAAGTGGTTTTTGTGCCACATGTTGAACCCTCGGTTCACACTGAGGGCTGTGTCTAGAAGACCAGCACACCTTTCTTCCCCAGTCTAAAGGATGTAATCTGTATTTCCAACTTCATGGCGGAGTGTCTGAACAACCATGCAAATGGATAGACCGAGGTGGGGCAAGGGGGCCATTGTACTTTGCTGTTGAAGCTGAGCCACTGTGCAGATAGGAAATAGAGAGTTATGGAGGAAGGAGCCTGATTCTGTAGCCATGTAGTTAGGAGACTCACCAAGAGATTCCTGGACTGCTTATACACTTCAAATCGAGCAGTCTTTGATTAAAAACAAAAGAATCAATCCTGATTATAGAGACCTGAACCCAGTGTCCCCACCTAGCCAAACCAAAAACTTGGTCATTGGGCAATCTCACCCCAAAGGAACAAGCTCCAAAATCCTGCTACTAGCGAGTCAAGCATCATATTGTAGCCCGGTGAGCACACAGGTGATACACTGGCAAAGACTATTGAGGAATGACCTAGCACAGGGATAGGCAATCCTTGACACGCGTGCCAAGTAGTGGCATGTGGAGACATTTTCCTTGGCATTCCAGGAGGTGTGCCAGGAAATTGCTTCAAAACAATGATACATTTTTTAAGTTGCTGCTCTCGGTTCTCCGGCAGAGCAGCCAGAGGGGTCCCAGCATGATGGCAGGAACCGGGGGGTGAGTCAGAAGAATGCAGGCAAGGACGGCATTGTCTTCGTTCTGCTGATCCTGCTCCCTATCCCCAGGCTGCGGCCTCCAGCCTGGCCAGGCCCCTGGAGTGGGTGAGGCTGGGGTCCGGGCAGGCGCTGCAGCTGGGGGGTCACTGCTTCCCTTTGTCGGACGCTGCCGTGGACCAGTGGGCCTGAGCTGCAGCCGGTAGCGGTGGGAGAGGTGGGTGGTGAGGGACACCCTCTCTTTCTCTTTTTCCTTTTTTTCTCTCTTCTCTCACTTTCTCTCTCTCTCTCTCTTTTTCTCTTTTTTTTCATTTCTTCTTTTTTCCTGTTCTCTCTTCTTTTCTTTTTTTCCTCTCCTTTTTTCTCTCCTTTCCTTTCTCTTCTTTCTCTTCTCTTTTTTCTTTCCCTCTTTTTCTTTTTTCTCCTCTGCTTCTTTCTTCTCTCCTTCTCTTTCTTTTTTCTCTTTTCTTTCTTTCCCTCTTTTTCTTGTCTCCCTTTTCTCTCTCCTTTATTCTTTTTCTCTTCTTTCTCGTTTCTTTCTCTTCCCTCCTCTTTTTCTCTTTCCTTTTTTCTATTTCTTCTTTCTTCTCTCCTTTTTCTTTCTCCTTTTTTCTCCCATTTTTCTCTCTCCTCTTGTTTCTTTTTCTTTCTCCCCTCTTCTTTTTCTCTTTTTCTCTTTTCTCTCCTTTTTTCTCTCTCTTCCTTT